TCCAAAGGCTTGTGATCGGAGAAGACAGTGAATTTCCTACCTATCAACATATGTTGCCAATATTTTACACATTCTTTAATTGCTAAGCATTCCAGATATATAGCTTTTTTCCTTTTTTTAACTTCGTTCAATTTTTTTGAAAAATATGCTACTGGTTTCTCTTCTTTGTTTTCTTGTGGCTGTTTTAAGACTGCTCCTACTCCCAGTATACTGGCATCTGTGTGTATGTGAATTGGCAAGTTATGATCAAAAATGGTTAATATTGGTTGAGAGCATAATATTTCTTTCATCTCATCAAATGACTCTTGGCATTCCTTAGTCCAGTTAAAGGATGGTCCTTTTCTCAAAAGGTTATGCAATGGTTCTAATTTTATTGCTATGTTTGGCACATACTTGTGATAAAAGTTTATTTTCCCTAAAAATTGTCTCACATTTTTTTGCGATTTTGGAGTAGGGAAGTTTTTTATTGATATCAAGTTGTCTTTTAGAGGTCTAACTGAATTATTCTGTATTATGTGGCCCAGGTATTTAACTGAGTCTGCTGCAAATGTGCATTTAGAAAATTTCAGTCTAAAACCTTCACTTTTAATTGCTTGAAATAATTGTTTTAAATGCCCGACATGTTCTGAGAAAGTTTTTTGAGAACAACAAGATGTCGTCGATGTAACTTACGGTGAATTCTCCGAGCTTATGTTTTCGTATAACATTACACATTATTCTCTGGAATATTGCTGGCGAGGTTTTTAGGCCGAATGGTAAACAAGTCCATTGAAAGTGACCTTCCTGTGTGACGAATGCAGTTTTATATCTGTCTGTGACACGCAGAGGTATTGACCAAAATGCTGAATTCAGGTCCAATGTTGAGAAAAATTTGCAATCTCTTGTTTTTACTATTAGGTTTTCAATAAGTGGAAACGGCTGTGACTGCGGAACAAGAATTTTATTTAAGTCACGAAAATCTATGCACAGTCTTGACTTTTTATTTTCTTCTCTTTTATAAGCTAATGTAACTGGGGCTGCAAACGGACTATATGATTTTCTATCTCCTTTTTATCTTCAATGGTGCAACGATATGGCCTTTTACTGCACTATTTTTCTACTATCAGATCAATATGTGCTTCATAATCCGTTACCGTTCCGATGTCATATTTGTCCTCTGCAAAAACAGATTTATTGTTCAATATCAAGTCATCAATTACTGCTTGTTTTTGATAGTCTAGATGATTTATACAAATTTTGAAGTTCTCTACACTGAAGTTTTCGTTGAAATTTATTAAATTATCAGATTTTATTTCCTTAGAAATATCAATATCTGTTTTATTTGTTTCCTTAGAAACTATTTCACTTCTTTGTATAGAAACTTTCTGATGTATTCCTAAGTTTTCATTTTGGATTAAGTAAAACTTTTTTATACAATCTAATCCATTTAAAAAATCGTAATCGAAATTTTCCTTGTCTATTACAAGGACATCCATATTTTTCTCAACATTAAAAATTGTTACATTAAGTGTTACTACGCCTTTAGCCTTTTTAACGCCATTAATTGTTTTTAAATTAGTATTGTTAGAAAAACTTAATTCCTTATTGCTTTGCTTATCTTTAGCAATCTTGAATTTATCAATGACACATTAGAGCCTGAATCATAGATTACATATATTTCAACTTTTTTATTCAATACTAATTTTACTTTAATTAATGGCGGCATTATTAGTTTTTTTGGTCTTCATATTGTAGTTCACATTCCAATTCTGAATTGTTTATGAGCTTTATTTGTTTCTTATCTTTTTCTTTTTCATTATTTACATACTTTTTAAACCAACATATGTCTTCTGAATGATATCGTACACCTTTATTTAGTTTTTCACAAATGTTACATTTTTCTTTCATCAAGTTATTTTTCTTAGTTTTTTTAATAAATTTCCTCTTTGTAACCAAATGTTCTAGTTTGCCGAGTTGATTGAATAAGTCTTTTGTTTGTACAATATCTTCCTTGTTGATCCTATCCGTTATAAAATCTGGTAAGCCCGCAGCAATTACAACAATAAGGGTGCCTTCATCAATTGTTTTTCTTATTTCAAGCATAAGTTTTTCTTTTTTTATAGCATATTCTAATAAAGATCCCGATTGATACTTGAAAAATAAAGCGTACTTGCTAGTAGTCCAACCTTTATTAGCATAGGTTTGCAAAAACTTTCGATTTCCATTTCAACCACTCTGATTGTAAACTAAGCTTGATCATCATGGAAGAATACCAATCAGTGCATGATTTTTCTAGAAACAGTCTGAAAATTTCAATTTTTTCTTCGTCTTTTACTGTATCAAACCTTTCACATTCTTTTTCAAATATTTCCATCCAATGATATACAATTGTGTTTTCCATCAAATTTTTCAATCACAAACCTGTCGGCTAGCCTTTTTATACATTGTTTTTCTTTGCTTTGTTGGCCTTCAATCAATTTTTCCAAAATTTTGATGATAGGACTTTCCAAATCATTTTTATTGATAATAGCCGTTTGTTCTGGAGTTATTTCCTCAAGGAATTGATCCTGAAAAATCATGTTACCATCTTCATCAAGGTATTACAAATATACCTTCTGTGTTATGTATCTTCTGTCATTTTTATCCAAACACTTCTAGTTTGATGTCTTTTTTTTAATGTATTTTCAACTGTAACGAAAGCTTTAAAAGTTTGGATATGCTTGTGAAGTGATACTGCTTGATACTCCTCAGGAATCAGGAAAACTTTGTCATCTTGTTTGGCAACTGAGGTTATGGCAATATAATTTGACTTTCCGTCTACTGCTGGCTTAACTTGAAACGTAAATTTCAACTTTTCCATTCTTTTTACAGAAATTTCGTTTTATAAGAATATTTTTCAGTGATTAGGATGCAATCAAAACACAATTGAGTTTCTCTGTAATTAAAGATTTGTTGTAAGATTTTGAAACTATAACAAATAATAATTAAAATAACAAAAATAAAAGATTTTACTACTAAAACTTTACCTGTAATTAAAGAAACGACATTTAATGTTAATAATCACAATGTCGATTCCTAAATCACTATTTTACTTATTAAATATTTTTGTAATAAAATTATTTTCATGAATTATTTCATATGACAGCTTAATTCTTTTTCTATTATAATCCGGCGTCAAACATAGTTTTTAAAATAAATTTTATCAACGGCCGGTGCGCGAAAATATTTAAATTAAAGAAAATATTTAAATAAAAGAAAATAATATTTTTCTTTACATATATATACATAAGAATTGGCGCTTTAGCTAAGAACACATTAAATTTACTATATTTTGTACTGTTGTACCTAATAATAGATAAATAAATTGTTACTGTGGTAGACTATGCAGTTGTTACACTAATAGGTAAGCTTTTCTGAGGATGTATTGTATTTTTGCGTTTCGTCTGCAAGGTAAGGTATCCAACGTAGTGAGGTAAGAAACGGCTCCGTAACTCATAGGAGATAGACGTCCGTGGACGGCGGTAATCACTTAACATTAGGCGAGCTCCGCACTTGTCGCATTCTCACAAAAAATGCTGTCTCAAATTTTTGATTGCACATGTCACGAATTGGGACTTTAAAGCTCTCTCTGTCGACCTTTTAATTGTGTTAATTCTATTATTAAAAGACTTTCTTTTTTAGACATACTCAGTCTTTTATGGTTAAAAAAATCATTTATACTTATATGATATATATATTTATTACATATTTTTTATGTCGTATACTTCTAATATACGCTCGACTAAAAAAACTATATTCCTTTAAATCTATACCTTTCTCTGCCTTACAAAAAATAATACTTTGGAGTACATACTTGTCGTATTTCTAGCGAATTAATTTCGTTTGTTATTTATCGAGTTGCCCATTAAAAATGCATGAATTCGGAAAGTTTATTACCTGCCCCCAAAAAGGTATCTATTAAAATTGCCTTAATGAAATTTATTATGCAAATAAAACTGGACCACTCTCCTATCTATGTAGTACGGCGGCCCCGATTTTCGACCCTAATAAATAAAGATGTGTATTAAAAGTAATGTTACTTCAATTTACATCTTTAGCGGCGTGAGACACGCTAACAAGGTTTCGAGCGGGAAACGTCACCCGTTATACGTGACACAGTTTCAACCCTCATACACGACCACGGACGCCATTTTTCAAATTGAGACAGCTTACGCGAGATAGACGCGTGTGGTATACGTAACGTTGAAACTGTCTCATCTTGATTCGTGTGAAAATGTCGTTTAAATTTGAAGGGCTCGTTGCGTTTTTACTGTTGTGTTGTTTCGTGGAGACGTGTTTTTCTTACGACGCGGAAAATGGTTACAGGAAGCTGTCACGCAGGAAACGATATGTCTCCTTTCCTGAAGGCTCGAGTTTTTCGGTGAGTATCCGGAAGTGTTTTTCTGTATGTCGTTAATGTGACTATTCATAGATTAGTGGCGTGACTTTGGTTTGGATGTCTGTTACAATAGTAGGTACAGCTTAGCATAAGAACATAAAGCTTTCTTAATGTTGTAAAGCCAATATTAAGAAAGCTTTATGTAGCGTCGATAATGAAGTTTTTCATTTCACATAATGAAATATAAAATTTTTCAGTATAGAATAATATACAGCAAAAAAACTGTAACATTGACAAGTCATAGTAAATATTTAATATTCTATTCACTTATATAAAATCGACAATTACTTACGGCCGATTTCAATATTCTATCTACAGATAGATTGGCTTACTGGAGATAGAATTTTGACGTAATTATTATGGAGCTAATGACCCTAGTAACTAAATCTATCTGTAGATAGAATATTGAAACTGCGAAACAGACCCACTGTTCATTAACGTAAAATCCATTAAATACACACCTTCTGGACGGTCTTGCAGAATGAGAGTAGATGAAGGGGGAAATGGATTTAATATTTTTTTTAGGAAAACACGTTCACTCACGACGTTGTACTTCTTGCTTACAATGCCTGCCCCTTTAAGAATGATTACGTTCCAGTGCGCCGGCTGCATGACGGTAGGTCTGATAGGTCAGCCGGCGCCGACGTCCGCGCCGGGCACCTTCACCTTCGGCCTGAACTGGGGCATAGCCTACGAGCTCCCAAACACAACGGAGACTGCGCAGTTCTACCGCAAGAAGTATAGGAAACCGGTCGCTCAAAGGAGGAGCCGACGCGAGCTGTACGAGAAGATTGAACTGATACTTGAAAAGTATGTATAAGCGATCTCGTTTGTGTTGAATTCGTTATTGTATACAGTTTTATTTAGTACTAGCGACCCACCCCGACTTCGCGCGGGTGCAATGAATGTATTATACATATAAACCTTCCTATTGAATCACTCTACCTTGTAAAAAAAACTGCATCGAGATCCGTTGCATAGTTCTAAAGATCTAAGCATACATAGGGACAGACAGACAGCGGGACGACTTTGTTTGTAATGATGAAGATGTACTATGGGTCTCGGTTTGACTACGATGTGTCAAGTATTGGGTTCGATTTCTACTGACACGCCACTATGAATTGAATCTAATGGGTTATAAGTTATTGCCTCTTCTTAATAAATATACATATGCTGAGCAGGGACATTTGCAACACCCGTAATGTTGCAGATGCGTTGCCATCTTTTAATAAAATGGGCACCGGCGATTAGTCACCAGAAGAAACGTGAAAGTTTAATACTTCCACTTCACGTCGGTCTTCTATGAGGTTGTGGTACATTCTAGGACGGACATGTTCATTCGTGCCACAGTGGAGACTGTTGCGTGGCCCTACAACAGTTAAACATTGCCTTTACTGTAGGATAATATTATCCTGTGTTGTAACAATGTGTCATAAACATAAATGTCATGTGGAAACACGCCCAGATCTGAAATTAATCAATGATGATCAGATGATCAATTATTTATGGGTGACACAAATACTTGTCCAGTGTGGGAATCGTACCCACGACCCGCGGTGCCAAACGCCTTGCCACACGGAATTATTTACAAATGCTATGATGGATCGTTGGCGACTGACTCACCAGTTGCTAGGTGATAAGTGTGGTATTAAGAGTATTAAGAGTGGTAAAATTAATTACTAAATGACATTTATTTGTTTTTTTTTTAATAATGCAAACGTTTGTTGCGCATTTGTTCGAGAAATATACGGTCTTGAGATAACTTGGCCTAAAAAACCCTTAGGTTTTTGTGAATTTTTAAAGGTCCTTTTTTATCACAATGGTCGTGATATATAATAAAAATAAAATAGTACCCACATTTTGCATTTCAATTTTATAACTTACTTAATGGAGAAATAATATTATTTGTACGTAAGTGGAGGCTACTTGAACGAGTTGCTTAACTCAAAATTGTCTTTAAAAGAGTTTATGATGCACTAGAGGGTTATATTACTTTTATTAATGCTTATGTTTTCTTTTGAATTGTAATGTAACATTGATAATGCTGTTAGTACATACTGGAAGTTTGTATGTATGTAATAACACCGTGAAAAGAAAACAATCATTAGACGAGATTGTCTAAAGGACTTTTTGATGAGAATTTACTTCTTTTATCATCCATTCGCTTCAGGTTATTAAACTTTTTTCGTGTTAAATTGTCCCTACCTGCCTGCAGGATTTACGGTGTTTACGTAAAAAAAGTGAAACCGCCCTTTAAAATATGACGCCTCTGGGCATTCTTTCAATCTCCTCACCGAAAATTTTCCCTTTTGTCTAATGGAGTTAAGTTTTGTTTTCGCGATGGAGAAAAGGCCTGCTTTATTTCATTTCGCGATTGTTTTGGAGCTCTACGAGTAGCTGGCGGCGAAAGCAACGTCTTGGATGATAGGATTTCTGTATAGAATTCGTGTATCCTTTTAACGAGTATCAGATGTATTATTCCTACGAGAATATTTGAACTCTTACCACCTTGAACATTTTTGTTTTACTCCTGAAAATCTGTCTATACATATATAAGCTACTTGAAATAATGAAGGTATCATTATTACAAGTTAATAATCAAAGTATAACCGATAAATTACTATGTTGATGTATATTATCGAGTTACTTCGATGCCCATAGTATTTACATATGTGCTCGTAAAATATACATATATGATACTTAATGAGTGATTTCATTGCGTGATGGTATATAATTAAGTGTTATTTTATGTGAAAAGGTGACAAGCGAGTAGACGGTTCACTGAAGTTAAGTGATAACTGGCGCCAATTAACATTTGCAACACCCGTAGGGTAACAGATGCGTTGCCACCTTGTTATAACTTAAACTGTTGTTTCTTGATGAATTATCATTGCAGTAGTAGTTGATTTATAACAGAAGTATAATATCATTTTTTCATAATTAAATTAATGAGTAGTGCCTGCGTTGGTTATAATAAATAGTTATAGTGTATAGTAATGTATAGTAATGTACCTATGAAATATTTATGTAAATAAATTAGTAGTATACTTGGAAGATAATTACTATGTCGAAAAACGAGCTTGTCTCGCCAACAAACGTTATAGTTTGGCGAGAATAGCTATGTGTTAGCATATATCTTTGATATTTAAAAATAATAATAATGCGGGCCCCAGCTATCTCACTCAACAAACGAAACGAAGTAGTATAACTTCTTGCCACAAGATTTGAGTTTACTGAATTTTTTATACATGTAATATTGTTGGTAATCCAAAAGAAATCAGCAAATAATACTTCCTCCATATAATGAAGTACTGTTATATAATTTCAGCATGGGATACAACGGACGCCAATGTATATTGAAGACGCTCTGTGAAACAACCCAACGCATCGTTCCACACAGCCCTAATATGATGGAAGAGATATTTCGAACGCTTTTCACGTGAGTATTGCTTTAATAGGAACAATTCGCTAAAACCGATAAAATAACAATCGTCTGAAAAAAAGTATTATAGGTATTATAAACACCTTAACTACTTCAATATTAACGTGTAATTTTGGTTTATTATATAATATAATTACACGTTCAAAAGTTTAATTATAACAAATGAAAAAGGTAACAGAGACAAAACTTATAAAACACAATTATTTACATGTAAAATCAGCAAAGGAAAGAATAAGTATAAAACGCCACGACAACGCTAGAAATTTAATTAAAACTCGATCCTTAGGACAGAGGCAAATAAAAAAAATGTTTAAAACACAAACATTTTTTTTAATACAAAATTTCACAGAGGCAGCATTCTTTGTCTTAAGTTAAAATGATTTCGATTTGACAACATTAACTCCAAGCGAGCTAAATACTTTACAAAATGCGTAGATGACATTGTGTTGAAACCTAAAACATAGGTAATAATGTGTAAAAAATAAAGATCATTGACAAATCAAGCATATATGAAAGACGTCACTAAAGTGTTTGACAAATGCCAAAACTTACTTGACTTATTTTTATTTATTTAAAAACTTTGTGCACAACAGCGTACAACGGCGGATTTAACACCATTACGTCTTCTCTACCAGTCAACCGACAAATAAATCTTATCTTCAATCCCTTAGCATGTGTGTTAATTTTATTAATATAATATGTGGGACAAATCCCTGATCTTAATTGCAATCACGCCGTCAAACAATAACGCGTTCCGTTCAAACATTCATGAGTAGGGTTTCATGGAAAGTTAATCAACTAATGTCTCGAGATACAGCCTTCAGTGTAACTAGTTTGTAAAACTATGCAAATAACAGTGTATACAAGTGCGCTTTATCACGGGCTTCGCATCCCTAGAGCTTCCGCGTGCTTCGGCCTTTAGATTAAATAGTGCACTTTGGCATTCAAACGTTACTCAATAAAGATAAGGTGAAAACAGATGTTTGCCATCAGATACTACTTTACAGTTTAACAGCCATTCGTACGTCAGTCAAAACTTATAGCTTTGTTCAGCCAGTACTAACTCCGCGAGTAGTTTTTCAACCGACCATTATCTGACAGGAAAGACAAATACTAGCAAATGAATATATTATGTGTGTGTAAGTTTGTGTGCGAGCATGAGTCCGTGCGTACGTTTTTGTATAGTGTTGATTAAAATAATATTTCATGCCAACATTACAAGTCATGTTAGCACGCACTTATAACTTATACACACTGTATAGAGGAGTCCCAGCAGGGACATGTATAGTCTGCTATGTTACTATTACATTAATGCCACCTGTGTACCATTGACGCCAATCAGGGTACTTCTAAATTAAATCATACCAACTTTTGTTCATACTAGGATACATAAGCCAGATCGGTCTTACAGATATAGATTTCCTAAGTAATGCTTCAACATTAATCTTTGATCTTGGGTGACACCTGTTGGTTAGTGGTAATTTAATTAAGGGCAATATACTATTCAGAGAACAAAGAAAGCCACAGGTGTGGGATTAAGTATTTAATCACAAAATGGCACATGTTTACACAAATAGTCTATGTTGGCATCCTTATGTTTTAAGTATCTTTATGTTGGCAACGATTTGCCTCTAGTGTTGTAATTGTCCATGGCACTACAATTTTCACATAAAAAAAATTGTTGCATCTCTTTCACAATCTCCTGTCATTGTTTTTTATAACACGTATACCTTACATTATTTATCTCATCGAGTTGAAAAACTTTATGATTTTCCTAAATGATATGGTCCTTGCGTAATTTAAAGATATAATGTTCTACGGTGGTAGGGCCACGCAGCAGCTTTGGCTGTTGCATGAATGGGCAGGCCCGTCCGGGTAAGTACCACGACCTCACAGAAGACCGGCGTCAAGTGGAAGTATAATACTTTGGCGTTCCGTCTGGTGAGTGAGGTAGCCGGGGCTCAATTTTCAAAAGGTTGTCAACGCATCTGCAAACCTTCGGGTGTTGCAGATGTCCATGGGCGGCGGTATTCACTTAACATCAGGTGACATTGCTGCTCGTTTGGCAACTTTTCACATTCAACATTAATTAACGGCCCATTTACATATTTTCTTTGAACTTTATCTATAGTGGTTTCTTTGGTTGTTATAGAAACATCCCAAAAAACCGATGTGCATTGGAATAAAGTCGGATGATCTTCATCTAGGTAGAGATAGTATTTCTGAACTAGGTAAAGTAAGTAGGATGATATAACTTGGTTTGAATTCAAAAGGATAATTTATAGAAAGGAGCCCGCGAGCGAGTGCTTTGTATGCTTGCAGACGATAGTGTGTGCATAAATGCGTTTCAACGTAATTGCTGCCATATTCACTCACGAATACTGCGGCTGAAATAAATATTTTCGTTTGTGCAAATATTTGTCTGGTTATTCATCTTCTGAAAGCATCGCGAATATAGAAGCTGCGAACTTTAACCTTAACATTCTAATTGGTTTGAATAGAGATATTTTTAATGGAAATTGGGACCTATAGTTGATTAATATTCAAATAATGCATTAATATCATAACCAAAGCACAAAGCACTAAATGAAAGAAAGTTCAGAGAACGGAAAAATATAGTTTTTATTGAGTAAAATATAGTGTTGACATTTATACTCGATATACTAGCACATGGTATCAGAATTATTTTTTTGTAACGTTTTGGATTGAGTAAGCTCATAAATATAGATACTCATACAATAATAAAAGTTGATCAAATAGCAAAACCATAATTTTATTGTCATACATTTCCAAAAAACGGAACTAAATACAAATCTATGTTATGCATTTGATAATTATTAATGTATACGTTATTTTATTCCTTATCATTATCTTCTCATTAAAATCACTTTTGAACATTTTTAACAGGCTAGCATAGACAGTCAAACCAACCTTTGAAAACCCAAGTGCGTTTCCTCTGAAATCTCATTCATCACATTCGGAGCACGTACTTACTAAATGAGGATTAGAGGAGTTAACGGAGAAATTTTGGATCTAACGTTACAAATATTCATCCCTACTCAACCGTCGTGTGAGCTTCACTCGACTTGGATAAAAATATATAAACAACAACTTATTTCAGGTTACGCCCTCTGTATGATTTGTCTCAACCGAATATACACTATTTTCATCGGCCTACACTTGTATGTTTCTATGTTTTCTATTCGGTATTTGGTTATGCGATTTTGATATCGAGTAATGTCTTGAGGTTCGATAAGGCAGGTGACATCAACCGCTACGTCACACTTACTTTTTTGTCTCGAATATAAATTAAAAAGAAAAATGCTATAGTGCATCTGAGACTAGTGATTAACGACGACCTCACGATTTGTCGACTATTGCTAAGTAAACTCGGTGGCACTTTAAAGCGAGATCTATTTCTGTCTATTCTGTTGGGGTGAGAGTGAGACTATACTGGCTACGCTACTTCAATTTTAATCAAAAGGAATCCTGCTGTACTCTATCAAAAGCTTTGGTAGGGTCCTAGGTGTACTTATTATATTCTACATCATCAATCTATTTCTTGAACGACATTTAGTCAGAAATAAGTAAAGTGTGTGTTCTTATTTTTAGGGTTCCGTACACAAAGGGTAAAACGAGACTACTGCGTATCGGAAACTAAGACTCCGCTGTCTGTCTGTCTGTCGTCTGTCATCAGGCTGTATCTCATGAACCGTGATAGTTAAAAAAAATTAAGTGGGGCTCCCCTACGGAACCCTTCGTGAGCAAGTCCGAGTCGCATTTGGCCGGTTTTTTATTGTTACATGTTGGTTTCATTTAATTTCATGCCTCATCTGTAAAATCAGAAACGCTTAAATCACCCAAGCAGTTATGATGCTAATGAATAGAGTGGTGAAGCGCCTTTAAAATCCTACAAAGTTGTCTTCTCACGCTCTGCTAGCGTTCGTCGTCCGCGTAAAATTAAAAAAAGTGAGAAGTTTGTTCAGTAGTATGAGAATATTATCAGTGGCGAAAGTTGCGAAGTTTCGAAGACTGAGCCCGTAAAAAGGATTTTCAATCTTTGCACAGGAAGTTTGAGTGAATGTAGTCATAAGTATTTATAATCACTTTTGATAAGCTGTACCATAAAAAGGTACAAATAAAATTATAGTAGTGGCGACGCTTTAAAATTATCGTTGGGCCAAAGGCGTTTTTATATAAAAACTTTGTTTAATTATTAATCCAGGTGGACTTATCTTTTTAAATACGATACTGTTCAGACTCATATAATAAGCTAAATAAGATTTGAATTTATTAACTGTCTGTTAAGTATTGACCAATTGCTAAAATCACTGTCCATTTAAGATATTAAATTTCATTAGAACTGGTGTTTGCTGGAAGTTTTATAAATACTCAGATGAGGATAAATCAAGCTGTTTGTTATTCTTATAAATTTGGTTACTAAAAGTAGCTAGAGCCATGATAGCTCAGTATCCGAGCGCTCGCTTTTAATTTAACGTACTCGAGCAATCCAGATTTTATATGCACAATTATTACTTAGACGTAATTTTTAAACTCAGGTATCATTATATTATTTTTGTACACATCAGTGATATTACGACCAAAGAGAAGGTGGTAAACGATATCGCCTCTGCCACGCCATAGGAAATGACAGGTGTATTGTGTAGTTTTGGAACCACCGGTATCTGGTGACCTCATTTCCTGGACAAAGCGCAAAAGTATAATTACTTCCATTTTACGCCGCTCTTCAGTAAAGCTAACTTTATCTACAGAGAAACCTGTTGAATTAGCCAGTTCGCTGAACTGCAGAATTCAGTGCGTAGCTAAGCCATTATAACATAGAGGCTGTTTCAAATTTTCATTGCAGAATGCCGATGTCGAAAGTGCTCAAAACGGAGCCTTCGCTGCACACAATATATGACTCTGCGCACCGTCTTGGCGCACTGTTGGAGAACTGCGATATATACAAATGCCCGCTATCGTTGGTCGATTGGGCTCAGGGCTACTACAACGCCCCGGCGCCAACCGTGGACACGGCAAGGAGCCCTTGGGCCTTATTCAGCAGTAATTTCGGTTGAATTTTGCGCAACAACTTTTGGGGACATCTAATTTATTAAACATTTTCTATTTTCATTAATTACGTTTATTATTCTTTATCCTAACTAGAAAAACCACCTTCTAACAGCACACTATAGTACGGCAAAACTAACTCACCATTTTTATACAAGGTACTCGTACGTCTACTAGTATCCTCCAGCGGTTGTCAACGATCAAAGCCACAAATAACACAATCGACGGCTGTCAATGTTACGGTTATGTCGGACATTGACGACCCGAAGCCGACAATTCCCTCATTTTGTTAATGCATGTTCATGATTGATCTGCTATCCGTATATCAAACAATCTTGTCCGTATCAATACAAGTAGTCAACAACTTGTAATTGTTAAATCGTACAGCAACGCAATTTTAGAAATGTCACTTATTATTGTAATTTCATTCAACATTGAAGTACCTAGTAACGAAGAACACACCTCCAGTTTTTTTTAATTTCTGCCTTTAAATTAAGACACGTTCATCTAGGTTCATTAAATGATTTATTTCTTTGTAGCTGTATCATGTATCATGTGTACGGAATTACATCGTGTGGATGAGGGCTAGTTAACAGCTTCGGAGACGTGTATAGTCCACTGTTAATTTTGGTGCATTTCCTATAATATTGAGATGTATTTGTTTTTTTTTTTTTTTTACTTTACTTATTTAATTAAAGTAACAGCTAGCTTTGGCCCTTAATAAACAACAAAAAGCTCGATCCTTACATGTCGAGTAAAGTCAAGTATGTAATATCTCAGTATTCCTAAAAATATGGCAAGACACTTGAAGTTTCGGTTTTAAAACTTAAAATCACTTGATTGTTTATTAAAGCAGCGTATCCGTGCCACATCCGAATACACAAGGATTAAGTAGATGTCATTATGTAATGAGGTCATCATTTAAATAAAACGCTTCAATTATTATTAACGCATAACATTTAATATTTATAGTTTATATTTATAATACATTTCAATATTAGCAGTAAGAATTCTTGTCGTGTATTCATAATAGTTGGTGGTAGTGCTCGATTTTTTTTTAATTAATTTTAACATTACAAAATGGAACCTAGCTTAGAACTTACTCTCCACACATTATGTATATTATTTCACGATACTTAACATTAGGTTTTGCCACTAATTCCATATAAATTAATGCTTATAATTATTAACTTTACACCTTCACAGGATTCCGTAAATTATTGAGCTATCGTGACTTACAATATATTTATTATATAAACGTTATGTATACAGCATAGTGCATAAACCTTAACGTTTCAATAAGTGGCAATTATTACTTATTACATGATACAAATAATTTCGAATGAACAAAGTTACTTCTATTACTAGCCCTAGTTTACGAATTCCATCGAATTACTATCTTAGAAGGTTATTATTGTATTACAGTACCTTATCCGTAGTAAATTTAGGATTTCCACTTCCGTGTACTAACTTATTATTACTTATATTTTGTATTATTTATGTGGTGTTCTTTTGTATTGTGCCATTTTCACCGATCGTTCGATATTCGCAACATTTGAAGACAAAACATTTTAACAGATATGGAAATATTAATTAATAGTAACATAATGATTGTACGCCAGATGGAATCTTAGTCTAGTTTGGCAACAAAACTATTGTCCCGTTGTAACCAAAACATGAGTAATTTCACCGAAACGGCATTTGCGAATTTCGAACAATGAACGACGCCGCCGATGGAATCGAGAGAATTAAATTCCCAGCAACGACATTCGATGATGTGAGGTCCGAACATTGCTCCGTTTGACATTGATTGCGATTACCAAATATTTAGACGGGCAACTGTTGGGCGTCCGTACCCGGCGATGCCGAAATTTGGGTCTATATTGCGATCCCACAAAAGCGATTCAAGCTTGTAATGTAATTTCTGCGGGATTAAAACCGTGTTTGCGTATTAATTATAGAGAAAACGAGTTACTTTGTCTAAGTTTTGTACGTTAGAATATTTTAGTACTTGAATTGTTCAAATGGGTATATGTTGCATGAATGCAACATAACAAGGAGTTATTTAACAAGACTGGCCATGTTTCGTCTTCCAATGTTGCATAAAGAACGCCGTTACTCGTGACTAGAAAGATGAAACCAAATTCATAACTAACCAAAAAATTTATATTATTAGTAGAGGACATTACATACTATTAATTATACAAGATGAAACTTCGAAACATACATTCATCCTTAACCTACACAATACACGCCATTGGCGTTTAGAACCAATTACAATATTACATTGATTACAATCTAAATTTAAAAGATATTTTAATTATTTTGCCAGTACGATTGCTTAACCAGACACAAATCAAGTATAAAAGGACATGCACAATATATTTAAGTACGCACTTCACTCCATTTTGATGGAAAATCGAATAAACATGATTTTGCACATCAAATTGGAGATACACAAAAACTTAGATGTAACACTAATAAAATAAGGCACACATAAAGTCTAGAAAAACTCATTGATAATACTGAAACTAATTACAGCATGAATCTAAATGAATAAAGAACTTAGTAGAACCATGGTTAAAATTTGTCTTATTGCAAACATCATGAAATATGAAATGATGATGTTTTGAACAGAATCGTGGTTTGATCTTACAGTAATATTACATATTTAATATCCGACGGTTCACATAAATATTTGATTCAATTAAAGTACAAAATTATAGGTACCTACTTTTAAACTGAAATGTGAAAAGAATAATGACTTGATGAAAATGGGTTTTAATTACTTCTGTATTTACATCTAATCGTGTTGGAAGCTCAACGCAAATTTCGTGTGGTTTATCTACCTACCATATAAATATTATTAAATTTACTCTATAAGTAGGATAGGCAGTATCATTTAAATATAACGCAATAAGTTGTTCGTGGTTTTGAAAATTTAACAACAAAGAGATATACATTACAAACTTAAATATATGCTATCAAAATAACTGAATTGTTAAATAAAAACATGTCTTTGAATATAAATAAAGAAACTTAAAATAATCTGACGTCACTTTTGGAAGACGTTTGATTAAACATGCAAATACGCCTAGTTTTAATTTATATCTTTATCTTTAGGGTTATTCTATTATATTTATGGATATTATAAGGGAAAAATAATGAAAAAGAGCATGATAAAAAATCGACACAGTGCAATCAAACAACTTACTGAAAGTGCTATTGAAGAAATACTATGCGAAATTCTATATTTCGATTGAACCTAATTATAAAGCGTTACGGATTATCTGTCGATTCCTTTACAAAATAAACCTTACCATTACGATAATTACGAAAGGAGAAAGAGAAATAAATATTCTGAAATGTTACAATATAATATTCAATGATTTATTGCTCTTTTCTTAAAAAGTAAAGCGATAAAAAAGAATAAAAGTATTTAATATCCACTACGAATCTACATTAGCACTAAATGTATTGTGAAAGGAACGTAGAAAAATAACTTGTCAATTTAATTATTATTTAAAATTCTATGTTGACCAGCTATATATACATGTCAACATCTCGGTAAAGTTGATTTCTTAAAATTACTGACAGCCATGTGATAGCTGACTATGAGGCCTCAGTTCCATCAGCCAATGTAGACAAAATTGCTATGTGCATCAAGGATTAAACAACTTAAAACGAATAAAGAAGACGTAAGCAAAGACGAGATTTAAATAATTGAGTTAGAAGATTGACAAAATCACTAATAAATTAATATAAAATAATATAACGTTAGAGGTAAGACCTATAAAAAGAAATTAAGAAGAAAATAAGAACGTAAGTATGATGACGTAACGAATTTATCTAGCACTGTACTTTTGAACTGGCTCATTCGTCGACTAACTCTAAAAACACTGAGAAGCTAATTGTTTACCACTTACATTTAGTTAAATATTAATTTAAATTACTTGACTTATGTAACTTATAGACGAGACTCATTCTAGCCTGACAAATTATTGTTAAATTTATTTTATCTATCTACCACGTTCACGACAATTCAACTACTTTCGCTTACCCGTTTATTACCCGAAACAAAGATTGAGACGATACGTCCGTTTATTAAACTTATCCAATACAAAATAACAAACAAATAACAGCTTTATACAACAAAAGCATAACTAAAAACAATCAAAAAATTTAAATATCTGTCTTTTAGACAGTAATTACAACCAAGATTATGAATCACAGAAATTAAATGATTAAATATACTATATTTGAGCTTTGTGTTTGTACTGAATGAGAATAAGACCTGTCAATTGAATATGTCAAAATTATCGAAACAACTGTTATTTTAATCAAACTCAATCTTGCATTCATACCACAAATTTACGGTCAATAATCGTTGTATTGGCTTAGCTCATCCAGTTTTAACAAACCTTACATATAATTTATCCTAAAATACAATCCAGACTTTTCTAAATCGGACCTCTTCCTAATTATTCAACTCGATTTATTCTTTATGGCGCATCAGTTCGTCGGCGCGACTTATTTTAAAGGGAATTCTGTATTCAAGTAGTCAATTGCTAGCATTATTTTTGCCCATACATCATATTTCATTTGAGTGTCTCAAGTTTTAATTTCAAACTGTTCATCAAAACATTCCCCTTAACGAATTAATCTAATGTGTCTTTAGAAAATCTATCTATTTTATTTTTACTTGCAGTCATATAAAAATAACAATAGAACGTTTAAATCTAGCAAATATCTACAATAAAAGTATGAAAACTCTCGGTTCAGTGTGGGAAGCCTGTGTACCTAACTAATTCATTATTTTGACAATAACCATAACTCTAAATTGGTGTATTCGGTGCGTGCAAAAGCACATTCCTACTTCACAATAAAACTCTCGACTTGATTTTAAATAAGAAAATTAATTTAAGTACTAGAAATGTGAACAATTCCATCCAATAAATCCATTGAAGGTTAGATTATGCAGCGCCCTAAATTGCAACTCTGTGAGCTGACTTTCAGTAGATTCTTGTAGAAATGGATACCTTTTTTTTATTGACCAATGAGTTTCAGTAATCAGTTAATAGCGCAGCGTCATTTCTATACGTATCGTAGAATAAATCTTAAACCGTTCCTGTGGCGATATTATGCATCTGCTCCGTCACATGTATTGGTTTCTAGGCAGCAATAGATTTGTGAAGATCAACGTGCGGAGCGATTTCTCGTCTAAACTAGCCCAGCATATTACATTCACATGCAATTTTTGAGACACAAACTTCCATACACATACAATAACACTTATAAATATCGAGTGGAATCACACAAAACAGATTTATCATAACCATCCCTGTTTTCCTAACTGCTGGTGGTGGTTTTCATTAAAATATTATTAACCTCTGAGTTATCTAGATATTCATTATCTAAACATTATCATGAATTACTTTGACATATCAATAACGCGGCTCGAAATATTTTTTTTTATTACCACGAAATGCTAAAATACCCTACAAAATGGGTTATATCGAAGTTTAGTATGAAATGCGCCACGAATGTAAAATTGTTTGAAATAATCAAAACAGTAATATACAATGGATTTGTATAACGCCAACTACAAATATATAATAAGGAACAAAATTAAACATCTAGTATTGGTTCTAATCTAAGCTTTAATGAAACGTTCCCAATCTGTTAAATTCTAAACTCTCAAACTCCAACAATTTTATCATCTAAGACATGTAGTGGTAAAGTGCCAATAAGTGAATAAAGACGTTGCTATCGGTGAAAATCGTGAAAGTACAAACGAAGAGTAGACTTGTGTACTAAATTTACCCTGTACTCTAGGATTATAGTGAATTTACTGTTAACATTAATTTCCGGCAACTGTATTGTAATAAACGATGCGTTAAGCGCAGTAGTATGTCGTTTCAGTCATTGCTTATTAGGACAAGCTTATATTTTCAATAATATAAAGTTGAGTTTGTACATGTAGGGAAACCCGAAAAGGGCTCGGATGACAGCGTTTGGAAAGTAACTTCAGAAGTGATAAATCGGTGAGCTGGAATTCGCTGAGAAGTTAGGGCAATTTGGCACTCCGTTTTTTAAAAAAAACTTATTTAAACAAGTTACCAAACTATCTAAGAATATCGAACCTTATAAAAATTTTACAATTGGCAGTCAATTGTTGTTCACAAATATTTCTAATCAAACAATATCACCTTTGCGACATGATTCTATCAACTATTTGGCATTATGATAAGTGAAATTCTTCGCATCATAGTTGACTATAACTTTATATCTATCTATTTCTAAATTCCCTTATCATTTTAATACAACTACCGGGAAATTATTTTCATTCGTCAATGAATCGATATTGTCCTTATGATTTTTACGCGAGTACGTAGTTTATAAAATACTAAATGTATAATTCAATATTATTTATTAACCCCATATTACACCTACATTGCCCAGTTCTCATTGAGGACGTTTGCATGAAACTATTAAGTTTGTGTTTGATGCGATTCGACATTGAGTATTATTTTCTTTTAAATTACCTAAAATTACGCAATTGAGCTCGATTTCACTTCAAGTAATGTAAACCTATGGTAGTTCAATTTAAAATCTTAATAACGCTGTCGATAACTTACTCGAAAATACAACAATAACAAACCAAAATAATACAAAAAGAACTCTAAATTTAAACTGTACAATGTTTGTGCGCTCTTATTGACATACACGATGACAGCGTAAACAATCGATGAAGGCATAAAAATCAGTATAATTTGCTTAAACACACACGCAATCAAAACTGATTTACCGATATAAAAATAGTTATGCCTGAATCGGCGTCAACACAAAACGGTATGCTGAAATTTCTCCGTTGTCGTCCTGACTATCGACGGATACAGTCTCGAGTATTGAGTTTCTCTTCTATATATGTAAAAAAAGACGGCTTTGGACACGCTTGCGGCGTTGAAACGTCCAACAGCGCACCGGGCGCTTGGCACCACACTGAGCACAAAACATGTTCTCGCCACAGAGTTCCCAGCTGGGAGCTTACATTGATCATCCGTGCCACCACATCACGATTAGCTCCCAGAACGTCTTCGGCGGCGAGTGGCCGAAGACGTAAGATGAATTTCAGAGACCCGGGTCGCCCTCGGAGCCCATTTTCAGCAACTCCAACTTCTTCTTTGCAATCTTCGAATAGAGTATATCGATTGGCTTGGAGTTGTCATAGAAAGTCGGCGCTCTAAATATAATTAATGCAGTGCCAAGAACACATGCTATCGTGAAGGCGAATAGAAAAATTCTATCTAATACCATAGCCACGTACTTCCAGTCATCTTCCACCTGTAAGAAATAAAAGTTTACTTCATGCGTTAATAGTAATTCATTAAGAAATAAAGTTCGAGGATGTCACCACTTACGCTTTCAAATTTATCCTTATTTTTAACGTGTTGTGCTATAAACCTGGAACCTTCTATCGTCTTTTCCATTTCTCTTACGTATGGTTTTTCCAAAGAAGGACTGCCATCATCTAAATCCAGCCGACAAGGTGAACCTGGTGATGGTGAGAACAGTTCATCGTCACCACCCGGTGGAGGTGGGGGCGACGGTGGCATCCCAGGTAGATCATATTCTTCGCAGCCCCATTCTTTGAACTTTCCATCCAACTCATCACCGCCAAAGACATCGGTCAACACCTTAAAAGAAAGATTTATAAATTTAGAAAAAGTTTTGTAATACGAGTTCAAAGGCAAACAATTTTTACATGAGTATGTAGTTTATAATATCATGTTTATTAAAACTGACAGAGGGATGACCAACTTAAAATGTTAGTCCGGGTTTCACCTCGCTAGTTTATCGATGGGGCTTAAGCACAATTAGGTTGAAGTAGAAGTAGTTTCTACCCGCGTCTGCCCGATCGTATATCGCACGATCCGTCCGCAGTCGCGAGGGGAACATAAATAACGGGGCTCGTGCGCTCGTTAAGCCCGCTGGCATTGAGTAATAAAGGAAAATCGAAATGGAATGAAATTGGGCTGGAAGCGATATTTTCACAATATACATAGAATACAATGGCTTTTAAATATTGTTGAATGGAGCTTTTCCCCGTCGAGCCCCATGACTGGGAGAACAATCAAAATGGCACCCACTCATTTAGGTCATGGCTGATGAGAGTGCACTAAAATATTGTTGGTTTCTAAACCTTATTTTAGCATGGATAATTGTAAGAAGAATGTGCTATCTATATAAAAAGATTGATTAATATGCTTCATCAGTCTTTTTGATTCTTACTTAAACGTTTTCTAAAAAAGGGCATAAAAATTGCTAGTTAAAAATGGAGACTTAGACGGAGAATAATTAAGTATTGATAAATGAAAGAAACCGTTGTGTTTGAATTGACGGCCTGTGGCTTAATTTGGCTAATTCTTACCTCCGTTGGTTTATCGTTCTCATCGTCATCGGGTGGTTTTTCAGGCCTTTGAATACACAATATTCGAGGTAAAAAATCTATAAAGACTTTTCGTACCCAAGGGGCCATATGGTGTGTCACAGGTGACCTAAAGTTAACGTTAAGCACCACGATCGTGACGACTACTGATAAGGTGACTAGCATCATAGTAAACAATAGATATTTGCCTAATAATGGAACAGTTAATGACGTTGGTGGAATAATTTCAGCTAGGAGCAAGAAGAATACGGTCAGGGAGAGTAGTATAGATATACAAAGCGAAATCTTTTCTCCAGAATCAGATGGCAGATAAAAAACTAGAACTGAGAGGAAGGAAATGCCAACGCAAGGAATAATAAGATTGACAGTGTAGAAAAGAGTTTTTCTTCGCAGAGTTAGGTTGAATATAATATCAGGATAAGGCTCTTCACAGCACGAATAGAATTTTTCGTTCCGAGTTGCCGGCACGCGCATGATGTCCCACTCGACTGAGATGTAGTACTCTGATAAATCAATGCCCATCTGTATTTGGTCTGAGTCTGGCGTTTGTTTTAAATGCCTCAAATCAACCTGAAATCAATTTTGAACATTATTCAGTATAAATTCACAATAATTAGGGATATGCACTGCTGGTACAGAAATCAAATGTATAACATTTGATTTCAAACCATATTATGTCCATTCTATTAATTTGTTTGTCTATTGTTAATTTTGTGTATCCTTTTATGTGTGGTGGACAATTAAGTATTCAGTCATTCATATTAATGCAGTAGTGATAAACAACGTGTCACGTTTTGGAGCATCATAAACTATGTTACCTCACATTTACCCCACCAGGGTTAAAATATATGTGACGTAACATTGTTAATTTAATGATAATAGTTAAGTTCATAATATCAATATATTTGTCAGTTCATATTATCAATCGATAATAGAGATAAATTGTATCCAGTTCTGTATAATAAGTAATAAGAAACCCAAGCCACATTAAATAGTCACTGAAGAATCAAATTATTTACTATATAGACTACACGTCATTTATCACTAGCTCAAGTAGCAATGTTTGGTAAGGTATAGATCACAACGAAATAGAATAGAAGAATATTCTAAGTGAACTTTAATGCGATCGATATAAGGCCCGAACGAAGACCTTAGTATACGTGGAAGTCGGATTCACACTGATTTATTGACTTCCTTAGTGGGATTGATGTGTTTGTTTTCTTAAGGTCCGTAGCTGTAAATTTGATTCCGAAGTTTTTAAGGCTATCTATTTTAAGTATTATAATGTTATTTCTCAGTGACGTCTGAGGTAATTCATTAATATATTTTATTCGCAGAACTTGGACTAAAGTGATTCCTTGTTTCAAACCAACGCCTCATATAAATACTCTATGTAAAGCGGGATCATCCCTTTTAATTACTTTCAGAAATTCCAAATTTCAAAAGCCAAGTTATTTTTATAGAATTTGGTTAAATCTGGTCCCTCTTTAGTTTTTATTTTTCGAGCCCATTAAAGTTTATTTTCATTTAAAGGAATTTCTATCGGTGTTAATAAATATTAATTAAATCCTCGGAATTTCACCCATAACTTATATTCTCATGTGTGTTAGTGAAATTCAAAACTAAAAGTGATTCCATCTGAAAAATCTTACTAAATTAGGTATGTTTAGTTCAATCTTCAACAAATTATGTGCTGGCGTTGAAAACTGTTTGAATTTTACTGACCGTATAACCATCGTAACTCCACGAACCGAACTTCATAAAACAGGTCTGTTCGTCGAAAGGGAAATATTCGACATCGATCTCGCAGAATGACTTGTAGATGGCAGGGGGCTTCCAGACAACTTTGCCATCATGATGCAGGATCGCTTTCGTCATTATCGTCACCTCGTAGTTGCCATCGGCACTGTAACAAAATAAAAAGGCATTATTACTAATAAATTGTTTTATTTGTTAATTGACTCACAATACGAGAGGATAATAGGTCTTCTACGCTTAAATGATAAGTATAATTTATATCATGTCCTCGAAAAAAAAAAAAAAAAAACAAGTTACTACGAAGGCACAACTTTCACATAACAATACTCCAATTTCTTAGATCTTATTTCAACAGCTACTTTGGAATATATAGTTGAAGTTTCACATGTTGTTACTGTAAATTTATTATTCCCGTCAGAGATATTAATTCAAATCACTATGCTCGCTGAATCTAGTTGATATCCTTATTGACATCGACAGGCCGTAAAGACAAACATTGACGATTTATATCTTCAGCAACGTTTGCAAGGCCGCAAATCGCTTGCTTAGTTTGACAGCTACATGGATTAAAGTGATACATTGGCTTTAGAGATTGTGTTTCTCTTTACGGTTGAGATTATGGGACACTTTGTGTTACGATAGTTACTCGTAGATTTGAAATTACAGGTGGTAAAACGAATCGGAATAATTTAATATAACAATGAATAGTATTTGCTAAACACAGAAAACTTTTACTAAGATTTTACTTAATATAATCAGCTTGCGACTGAAATATTTATTTCATATTTTTCGTTTCCCCGTTCATCATGCGTTTAAAATATATTTCTTTTGATTGTTTAATATTTCACCGTAGTGATTATTTGTTAGTGATTTGTATCTCTCAATAATATAATTGTTTTTAAATCAAATTCATGAGTGTGCTCTAGTAAAAGCATAGTTAGGCCATTATCGTAAATGGACACGTTTGTAAAGTAATGAAAAGTATAACCAAAACATCATATCAAAGCGGTTTGGTAACCTAAAAGGTCTTTGTAAGAACTTTATTCAATGTAGAAAGAATTTATGTACACAATTAATGATCCTAAAACTGGTTAGGAATAAATCCGGCTCTTTTATGTTATGCAACAAGTCCCTGTTTTATTTTAAGGCATGAGAAGGAAGCCGAAAGCAAAATTTTAAGTCCTATTTTTTATTCATGAGAATGTAATAGCGTAATGAGCCCTGAGATAAGCTCCACTAACTTCTGAAATAATTTTCAGTTTAATATTTCCGGATGTCCTCACTGTTCATGACGTCCACGGACGGTATGCATTTTGAAATTGAAGTTTTAGTCATGGTTATGTTGTTCTCGTCTAGCGATGTGACATACTAACTTGCGATTCTTAATATTTAAACATTCTTAACATAGACGGGATAACTTGTTCTTTAACTTTACATAATTGTATGTCATATAATGAAGGTTGACCATAACATTCAGCAAAACAGTTTTAAGTGTATGGTCCATTTCGAGTGATGGTTTCGCTTTTTCATATGCGATGCTAAACGTATATAAAACATAGTATGATGAGAAAATATTTCATTGGTTTCATTCAATGATAAAAATATTTTTTTTTCCTAAAAAATTTGAAAAAAGACAAACAACTGTAGTAGTTTTCAGTTAGTTACTGTTTGTTTACTTGTGTTACTATTTCTTTGTTTGAGGCATTTGAGTATAAAAAAATTATAAAAAAATCTTTTATACTTATTTCTTCAAATATAATATAAATAAGAATGGAATTTGAATTTTGCATTTTTTTCATATCGGGATTTAGAGCAAAAATAAGCGAGTAATAAAGAGAAATATATAAGTACTTTCACATATTATGACACATTTCTGTTTTTTTTTTCTCTTTGCTTTAGACGGAACGGTATGGGGAATTGGGTTCTCGTATGCCGCAACGCAGCTGTCAATCTAAAAAATGGCATACGGTACCAGCATCCCCTAAGGCGAGACCTACTTAAATAAATTGTTACGTTGAAACCACTAAAAGCGTTGTCGTTACAAACTTTCTAGCATCCGTGCGAAATTGTCTCGTAAAATATAGGTTGTGTTATCATCCATTACGTTTACATGGCGCCATTAAAAATAAAGTTTACGCGGTATATTTGCGGCGAAAGCTTTTAGGGAAGTAACAGGTGCATTAAACTGTAACCTTTATCAGCTTAAATTTGAAAATATTATCGCCACGTCACGTTGGTGTCGGGTTTTTGTGGTTGACGTAATTTAAAACAATTTATTTGCGTTCAGGAGTAATAAGGTTTTATTATACCTGAGTGCAAATTTATTTATTTATTTGTTAAGGTACACCAACAGCATAACATATACTTACATTTATATATAATTATGTATGAGAAAACAATAAAAGTAGAAAAAAAACGAATTCATTTTAAATTTATATGCACTCTAAATCAGAAGATTGTAAATTCGTTTTCATAATATTCAAATTCCACTCGGCTACAGACATGTGATTGTATTATATTTTGCTTAAAATTCTTGAAAGTGGTTGATGCAGTCGTAAATTTGTTCGGTAATGTGGAACCCTAAAGAGTTTAACAATGCGAGATCTTGGGTATTTGTAAGAAACTGCTAGGCTTACTTTTTCAAGAAGCACGGAACATTTAATATTTTCTGTTATATAACCTTATGCAAAAAAGATAGATCAGCTATAGTTCTTCGGTTGCGTAAAATATAAGTGTTAAAATGTTTAATTATCAACTACAGTTACTACTTCTGCCACAAAGCAAACAAGATTACTTTCTACAGACCGACCGTTTCTAAAACCATGCTGGAAATCTGACATTAAATTGTTGACGTGTTGATATACTAAAGGGTATACCAGAGACTCAAATAATTGAGCGAAACAAGATACGATAGATATCTATCTATCTAGATATATAGGTCTATAGTTTTTAACATCCGACTGATCACCCTTCTTAAAAACTGGAACCAGTTCCCAGTATTCGAGCCAGTTTTCATTTATCAGGAAATACTCCAGTTGTCAAGGAGCAATTGCAAATTATTCTTAAGGGCAATGCAAGGAGAGATCCACACCGTTTGATGAAAAGTGGTGGTATGTCATCTGGACCGGCGCCCTTCTTAATATCAATTGTTTTAATTTTTTTGAAGATGTTTGACTCACTAAATACTATATTATTCAAGTGGTTAGGCGATAAATTAGATGTGTGTTCTCCGGAAATATTTGCATTGTTACAAGTAGAGTAGATGGCAGAAAAATGTGAAGCAAATAATTCCGCGATATCTGTGTTGTTAGATGTAATTTTAACTTCCATCTTCATGGAAGCAGGTGGAGATGGTAATGTTTGGTGGTGGCTCTTAATATAGCTCCAAAAGCGTTTTAGATTCTTCTTAATATCATTTTCTGTTGTCTTAATATAAATTCTATAACTTTCGTCATAAAGTTTTTGGCACCGTTCACGTAATAATTCAAATTCGAGTTTATCACGTGGATTTTGGTATTTTACATAAAGCTTACGAAGTTTGTTTTTTTCTTAGAGCAGTTTAATTAATTTTTTATTAAACCAAACTGGATATTTTGAAGATTTAACATTCGTAAAAGGCGTTATATCGTAGAACAGGAAAACAATTAATTTCATTCTAATTTAAATATAATCTGCTTTATAAAAGTTATACCCTACGCTTCTTTATGGAATAGTCATTTAATACTACATTGTATGTAGATGACAATGATCAAACAAAACTAGGGTGATGAGGATCCAGCTTACTAACAGGACTCGCACTTGCTGACACAATAGTACCCTCCATGTTTGTGATAACGAGGTCTAAAATCAAATAAATTAAGGAATTTAGTTTCGATTGACGTTTTTGTTTTAATTTTACATTTGATTTAAAGCAAGAAACTAACGTCTTCGTAGTTCTCTTGTAAAAGGCGACTTACGGTAAATACTGGCCTCATTGGAATTGAACCAGATAACCGATTCTTCTTCCCGATGTTCTGGGAGAACATGGAGGTTACTATTGTGTCAGCAAGTGCGAGTCCTGTTAGTAATCTGGATCCTCATCACCCTAGTTTTGTTTGATCATTGTCATCTACATACAATGTAGTATTAAATGACTATTCCATAAAGAAGCGTAGGGTATAACTTTTATAAAGCAGATTATATTTAAATTAGAATGAAATTAATTGTTTTCCTGTTCTACGATATAACGCCTTTTACGAATGTTAAATCTTCAAAATATCCAGTTTGGTTTAATAAAAAATTAATTAAACTGCTCTAAGAAAAAAACAAACTTCGTAAGCTTTATGTAAAATACCAAAATCCACGTGATAAACTCGAATTTGAATTATTACGTGAACGGTGCCAAAAACTTTATGACGAAAGTTATAGAATTTATATTAAGACAACAGAAAATGATATTAAGAAGAATCTAAACGCTTTTGGAGCTATATTAAGAGCCACCACCAAACATTACCATCTCTACCTGCTTCCATGAAGATGGAAGTTAAAATTACATCTAACAACACAGATATCGCGGAATTATTTGCTTCACATTTTTCTGCCATCTACTCTACTTGTAACAATGCAAATATTTCCGGAGAACACACATCTAATTTATCGCCTAACCACTTGAATAATATAGTATTTAGTGAGTCAAACATCTTCAAAAAAATTAAAACAATTGATATTAAGAAGGGCGCCGGTCCAGATGACATACCACCACTTTTCATCAAACGGTGTGGATCTCTCCTTGCATTGCCCTTAAGAATAATTTGCAATTGCTCCTTGACAACTGGAGTATTTCCTGATAAATGAAAACTGGCTCGAATACTGGGAACTGGTTCCGGTTTTTAAGAAGGGTGATCAGTCGGATGTTAAAAACTATAGACCTATATATCTAGATAGATAGATATCTATCCTATCTTGTTTCGCTCAATTATTTGAGTCTCTGGTATACCCTTTAGTATATCAACACGTCAACAATTTATTGTCAGATTTCCAGCATGGTTTTAGAAACGGTCGGTCTGTAGAAAGTAATCTTGTTTGCTTTGTGGCAGAAGTAGTAACTGTAGTTGATAATTAAACATTTTAACATTTATATTTTACGCAACCGAAGAACTATAGCTGATC